GTCCATTTAGTGCGTAATTCTTCGATATCTCGAAATCAATCATCACAAGAGAAAAATGTTGAAGAAAAAACTTTTTCAGTTAGTAAAGTTGCTCATTTCAAAAATAAAAGCGGGGCACCTAGAAGAGGAGTTTTTTTAAATGGAACACCCAGTATTGTTCATTCGAAATTTATTCCGCCAAGGTTCAGCTCTACATCGCTGTAAAAAAAATTGATCTTGGTCGCGGCGTTGCCAAGTTAAAATTGATAAACCCAATTTCACTACTATTGAAGGGTCATTTTCAATTGGGTATGGTATATTTATTAATTGAAATTTCGAAAATACTTTTGGCATACAGTAGTAGCAAGGTCTCACGTATACCAATCCAGTAATCTTGCGAGATAATCCTTTACAGGGTGCTGAAATTTACATTCTGAATATTGTAAGATTCAGACGACGATCATAAGAATTTTTCAAAAGGAACACCGTGTATTTTTCATCACAGATTTATTTCGACATCATTCGCCTTCTCATCGCTGAAGAAAAAATTGAAATCGGTTGTGGCGTTTTCAAGTTATGTAATTTTCTTATTTTCACTACTATTTCGGGGTAATTTGTACGTCATGATGGTGCCTTTATTTAATTCGAGTGAGGGAATATAGCTTGCCACATGACATTCGAGGTTCTACATAGATCATTCAGGTATTTTTGCGATATGTGCATCTTTCAAATTTGGAATATTCCGTAATCTTGATACTTATGATTTAAATAATATGTGAAACAAACAAACATGCCAAAAGCAACGCCTGTCTTTGAAACAACTTCTACTATACAAACAATAAAGATGCATATTGCGAAAATTAGGATTTTTTTTTGAAATTTGGGCCATTTTTATTGTAGTTATTTCCACAATCCAAATCTCCATTTAACTTGAAGGAGATAAACATAATGATACAAACAATATGTCTCTACTATACGCGGCTTTTGGAAGGGAATTCAGCAAAATTTCGAATCAATCCAAGATATATTTGATTGTGGCGATGTTTGACAGGTCATTACACAAATTCGAGTGTGTATTTCGAAAAAAAATCAAACTTGGAGAGCCTGTTAATGTTCCTATTGTAAAAAAATATTGAATGGTCAATGAAAAAATTTGATTAAACCGTAGCAACGCAATATTTCAACAATACAAATAAATGAAAGAACTATGACGTACAAATTACCTCGAAATAGTAGTAAAAATAAGGAAATTATCCATAACTTGACAACGCCGCCAACGATTTAGATTTTTTTCCAGCGATTAAAAGGCGAAAGATATCGGAATGAATTTTTGAATTAAAATACAGGGTGTTCCATTTGAAAAATTCTGATGAATGTCATCTGAATCTTGCAAAATTTTAAATGCAAAATTGCGCACCCTGTTGAAGAACACGTCGCAAAATTACTGGATTGGTATACTTGGGACCTTGGTTCTGCCGTATGCCAAAATGACTCTTCAATAATGGTAAAAATAGATTTATCAATTAAAACTTGGCAACGGCGTTACCGATTCCAATTTTTTTAAGAGCGATGTGAAGGTGAACCTCGGCAGAATTCATTCCGAATAAACAATACTGGGTGTTCCATTTAAAAAAAAAAACTCTTCCTCGAGTTGCCCCGCTTTTATAGAACACCCAGTAATGTTGAAAATATTTTTGAAATGAGCAACTTTAGTGACTGAAAAAGTTTTTTCTACAAAGTTTTTCTCTATATAGGTTATGGCTTTCGAGATCTCGAAGAATCACGCACTAAATGGACACACTGTAGAATGAAAATTTGGCAAGGACACCAAACTCCATTAAATTCATTCGTTCTCACTGTAATTCTATTTCACTAAGTCTATTGAATGTTGCAAGTATAGTGCGGTTTGGAACACAATTATTTAGCAAAGATAATGTCCAACTTAAGCAAGAGATGTCATGTTTCACATTACAAAATAATACATCAGTCGTTGACCATTGACCTACTAAAAACACTTTGTGTATATGTATACAGGGTGAGTAAGATTTTTGTAGTAAAGGACGTTAACAGCTATATATCGAAAACGACGTTCCTACGCATATAAGTGTTGCCATCTAGACAAGACAAGACAAGAGTTTACCTACTCTTGTCTTGTCTTGAAATTTCAAGACAAGAGTTGTATACGCGTAAGTCTTGATTAAATAAGCTAAGTGCGGTCTTGTCTAGATAACGAAAGTCTAGATTATTATTCAAGACTCTAGAATTTAACTGACTCTGAAGATAACAGTCCACTTGACTTCAATTTTTTATTTGAAAGTTCTACCTCTTCTACAGACAATTTTATTGACAACCCAAATTTCTGGAGAAAAGAAATTGATGAGTACCTTTCAAGTAAACGTGCTCCAAGAGAAGAAGATATTCTTGTTTGGTGGCGCAAGCATCAGTTTGCTTATCCTACATTAGCCAAAATGGCACGCGATTTGCTGAGTATTCCTGCCACATCTGTTCCAGCAGAACGCTTATTTTCTAGAGCTTCGCTTACCATTCGTAAACATAGGAATAGGCTTAATTCCGATTCAGCCAGGTCACTCCTATGTATCAATTCATGGGATACCTGTCAGCTTCATGAAAGTATCAAAAAATATGTTTCTGTTTAAAATTTAATTTGTTTCTTTAACGTACTTAAATTTAAAACATATTAAACGTTTGAAAGTTTTTTTTTTTGTATTATTTGTAATATAGATTTGAAAATAATCAAGAGTTTTGAATAAAAGTCTTGTATGGAAAATGAAAAGTCTTGTCTTGTCTAGATAATCTAGACAAGACATATTGATGATCTTGTCTTGATATTCTAGACAAGACAAGACAAGAGTCTAGAATGTATAAGTCTAGACGGCAAAACACTAAGTCGCATATACAGTGGGACCTACTTCTAATGGAAACACCCCTTTATCTTACGAGAGATATACCGAAAATGCACTCTATGACCAAGTGGGGTCATCTTCAGTGATATACACTGCTCGCCAACAGCTGTGGAACCACCCCAATTTCTGGAAAATGATATTAGGAGTCAAAATAGGTTGAAAATCACTCCGGATTCGGAATCAGAACGCCCCATTCAATAACTATTCATAGTTTTCCTAGAAATTTTCCAGTTCAGAAAAATTCAATTTTGTCTCACTTCTCATGGAAGCACCCCCGTATCTCACACAATTATTGAGGTAGGGTTCTGAAATTTTCAGGAGGAAGGGAAAGTCCAAAGACGAAGTCAATCACGTGAGATACGGGGGTGCTTTCGTAAAAAATGCGACAAAATTTAATTTTTCATAACTGAAAATTTTCCAGAGCAAAAATATGAATAGTTAGTGATTCCGAATCTGAAGTGATTTTCGACCTATTTTATTTATTTATTTATTTCTTACACTGTTCAACAGGTTGTCCGATTTACAGAACAGGAAAAAAAGGACAAAACAAAAACATATGCATTGCATATTACATAAGCATGATGGACAGACGAAACAATATGACGAAATGAAAATATCCTGACTATCTAGTTATTCACTGATGAAGGAGAAAAAAGATAAAAAGTTTTGACATGAGTTATTCCACAGCTGAACAGATCTAGATTCCTAGCTACCAAGTTATATGTACTACACATTTTATACAAAGGTGAATTTTTATATATTTTGGTTCGAGGAAACTCTAAGTAGAACGTATCACAATTTCTGGAAGATAATCTCGGGATAATAAAGTTTTCCAACAAATCTGCACAGTCAATTAGATTGTTAACAACCTTATAAAGGATCAGGATAGATTCTTACGTGCAGGCTTACGAATTGAAAAGTTTCAGGAAGCTCTCCATGAGGTGTACCAATTGAAGGGTATGTACCGCATGACCTGTAACTTAACAGTTTTAAAAACCCTCGTTGCAGACTTTCAAGACGATCAGTATTGTTCCGATAGTATGGGCTCCAAACAACCGATGCATATTTAATCTTCGAACGTATAAAACAGTAGTACAATTTTTTTAGAGTATCCTTCTCTTTAAAATCACGACTGTTGCGAACTATGAACCCGTATGCTCGGAATGCGGATTTCAGGATTGAGTTTGACTCCTGATAGCATTTTTCGAAAATTGAGGTGGTTCCATTGCTGTTGGCGAGCAGTGTATACCACTGAAGATGACCTAACTTGATCATAGAGTGCATTTCTGGTATATCTCTCGCTCCAGCAAATTCCAGGATCCTTACCCAACGATTAAGTAAGATACAGGAGTGTTTCCATTAGAAGTGGGTCACACTGTACATATGTTTACATGAGATTGTCAGCTTGGAGTTTGAGTCCTGCTAAATCAGATTTACTAACCCTGTAGAAGTTTCAGAGACATGAAACGATTCAGTGGACATCAAAACCTCCAAAATCAGATTCAGTGTCATTGTATCCTCCTCGGTATCATCGGTATCATCAGTACAGCATAGCAGATTATCTATACTGTAGATTATTAATTCTTCTCTGGTGTTTTATTTCGAATTTCGAATAAATTTTACATAAAGAACATAATCATGTTGTGTGAAATAATTATGCCCATTATCAAATCAATTGATTTTGTCGACAACAATATTAGGAAGGTCGATACCATTAAATTTCAACATTTTCGATTGCTTTTGCCAAATTAAAATCGAATTATATTGATGATTATCAGGTATGTGTCCTATAGTTTTTTATTATCGAATGTGAATACATATAAGATATATATTATATAAACAGGAAGAGAACAAAGAGACTGTTGAGTTCTTAATGAATTATATTTGTATAATGAATATCTTTATTAGATGGATAAATATTAGAAGTCATAAACGAATAACAGTTTATGGCAGTTATATACGAAGTACCTTTGTAAGGGTTTTGAAATATCGAATGTTTGAAAATATCATTGAGAAAACCTTATTTGAACATTATGAAAGTCGTACGCTACAAGCGATGAAAAAAATATCTTTATATATATATATATATATACTTACACCACTTTCTTAAGAATGTACTGGATAATTTTGCACATAACTTTTCTCTTCCTTTCATTTTTGTATTTTAATTTTACGGTTTTGTGTTAATATGTTCGATCACTTGAGCAAGAGGAAGTCAAAATAGGAAAGATGCACTGAAAATTTTGGGGTCACTTCATCATTTGGCTTAGGTCTTCAAATCTTGTAGAGTTTCTTTGGTCAAGAAGTTCCAGAAATGCTGCAAAGAAGAAAAAGGCATGAATAATACATTGATGATGAACTTTTTTTCAGATTCATCAGAGATACTCAAAGTGAAAATAATATGGGTAGTTGTTGGTTTTTGATGATGACTTTTTATTGGAATCTTTGTATATTATTAGTATATACTCATTACTAATTGGAAATATTCCAAATATAGAATCCTGAGCTCAAAATATATGAAGATTTAACTCAAATCACCCATAGATAAAATGTGTCATTTGAAAACTCAAAAATAATTTTGAAACTAATTGACGTATCATTAACATATTTGGCGGGAAGTGTTGATATTATACACCATACTAAATTATGAGAAATGAACGGTTCTTGATATAGGTTACTACCAGATGCGTACGACAGGGGGCAGGGGACTGATTGATCCTTTCCCTCGTCCTTTCCGAATGGGCTTATATCACAAAAAAAAATTATTTCATAATTCGATAGAACTCATCCAAACTAGCTCACCACCGCAAACCGTTTTCGTTTTTTGCTGTGAGACCCCTACGTTTCATAAAAAATTATTGAAATCCCTGATTTTTCGGACCTCTGAAAACGAGGCGATGATGTGACGTCAGAACCCTAATACTGAAACAAGGCTATTCCAGACAGAAATGAATGATACATGATTTCTGACAGAGTGAATTAGCGCGAAATCACAGTTGAAAGAATTAATATATCAGTTGCCTCAGTCTCCGTCAGGCGTTTGGTATTTTCTTTCAACTATGGCGGGATGAGGTTTCTACGTCATAAGGTTCAGAAGGTACTATTATTTATGTCCAAAAATAAATCATTCCAGTTAATTTATCGATCGAATTATGTCGTCAATCATTATTTATGTATAAAAGGATCATTATAAACATGGTTTGAGTTAAAAGTTCTACTGAGGTGTACACGCCCATTCTACGCCACTGGTGGAATTGCTATTGCATCATAATTTTTTGATTCTTCGATACTTTTTACGTAGTTATCGTACTGCATCTTCATGGCGATAAAGTCATTATTTTTCGATAAATGTACAATTTCAAGTTAAACATATTTTGGATTAAACAATGGATTAATTTGTATGCACGATTGGGCGTAAAGTAGCACAATTTAGGACAATTGTGTTTGATGGTTCCTTATCTAATAATATTACAGTTGATATTTCTGAGTTGTAAAATGATATAAAAAAATATATTTTTCTACATTCATGCAGAAAAGCAGAACTTTATTGAACTATATCTAGTGGAAAAAGAAGTTCCTTATTGCACTTAGTGCAATAATGTTTTTATTGCACTCATCTGTCATTCTACTTCAACGTGCTGTCATCATGGCAAAAAAATTTCATATTGTAACTGTGGTTATAGAAACGTCATATATTCATATTGAAAATTGCACCAATTGTTCATTCACTTTCAACATTGAGGGTAAAAATAAAGTTTGAGTTAAATTGTTCGTAACGTATTAGTTCCTGTTTCGATGCAAATCGATATTAATAATAAAGTATTCAAGTTGCGTTTTTCATTTTCCTACACCTAGTGCCGCACCTCAATAAATTATTTTTTGCTTTTTGCATGAACGTAGAAAAAATGTTGTATGCAACTCGTGCAAAAATTCTCGGCCTAACGGCCTCGTCGGACAATTTCACGTCGAGTGCAATAAACATTCACTTTTGGCACTTGTTGCATAAATAACTATTATTTTCATATAGTAAAGTAATTTCTTAACTATATTGAACATGAACCACACGATTTTCTTATAAGAATGTGCGTGTGCTACGTTTTTGTACTATTTCACTATTATCAATTATCACCAGGAAATAATTTTTTTTGTTATACTTGCAAGGACGATTTTCAAATTGTGAGAGTATGATATTGAATATTTTTGGGGTATGATTTAACCCAAATTAGTTATCTGTGATGACAATTATTGACAGCAAATATAATAGTCTACTCCTAATTGAAAAAATTGACTGTGTTACCATATGGTAACGTCGATTAGATCAATTATATTCCTCACTGCAGCCATGCTGTATTTCTATCGTTCTCGAGAGGTATATAAAGTGGTAAAGAGGTATTCACAATGAAAAATCCTATATACCGGTCGTGAATGAAATGTATTTATTTAGGTTGTAACTTGCTTTTCTGGACCTAAGCATGTTAATATAGCCCTCGCACTCACAAGCTACGGCCCATAAAGCCTATTTTATGCCTTTGATACATAAATTACTTTTGAATTTTTGGATATAATATATAATAAAACAACTTGTAACAGACAGGATAAATATTTTATCAATAGGTGATTTGGGCTAAATAATCATATTTTGAACTGATGACTATAGCTGAAATATTTCCAATTAGTAATGAAATCCACTGTATATGTGTAATCATTTCATAGAGAACAATGAAATGCGATAATGTGTCATTGTTATACATCACTGCATCTAATTAGGGTCCCTTGATGGAAATTGACATTAAAGTCATCTTAACAGGGTACGGACAGATCATAGCTGCATTCTTTTTTAATGATCTAGAGACTTTAGTTTTGTCTACTGGCATCCCTGACATTGCTGTCACGTCACATCCATGGGCGCTACAGAAAATCATTCGGAATTTTAATAATAGGTATGTACAGGGTATTTAATTGTTGAGGAAGATCTTGTGGCGAACAAGTTTTGTGATGAAGATCCGATTCTATTCAAAATTGATATCTGGCTGTTTTCGGGGTAAGAGATAATGATTGTTCCGTCAAAATTGAAAAATCCAAGATAACGGATCCATTAGTTTATATAATTACTACTCTATCACAAATAATAGAAAATATGTAGCATGCAAGAGTGCAAATAACGTGCCTATAAGTTATACTGCGTATACCTACTTGTTTGTTACTTTCATCAATGAATTATTTGAAAATGACTTTTAAGAATCATATGTATAACATGGGGGTGAAGTATATTCTATTCTTCATTTCCCTGCACATTTTACAAATAACTTTTTATCAGCCTACTTTTCGTCCTAGACGAAGTTTTATACATTGTTGATATTAGTCACTCAATAAATTCTTCGAGTTGTATTTCCGAAAATATATTTAGCACACATTATACATGAGTACAGTAGTTTGGATATTCACATCGAGGTTTTCACCATTTCTCAATCATAAGGCTCAGCTCATTCAGCTCATAGATAAACTACTGCTCAGTTTGAAATCAGAATTCATTCAGTCAATTCAGTCAACCCTTGAATACAGCCTAAGAACAGTCTCTTTTGGTGAAATATATTGAGCTTTCCGTAAAATTCATATGTTCCCTAGCTACCTCTCAAAAATTATTAAAGTTCGATGCAATGCAATTTTGATCGAACAATGCGCATGCGTCTATGATATTTCACGGCAAGTTTCATGCAAGTTTCGTAATAGAACCAGTCCTATTTTTCCTGCAATTTCAAGGCAAGTTTAGTAAAATTTTTAGTAATATTCATCGTAGCATCTTGATGAAATACTAATTTTCTCCATAATGTGGCCTGGAACACCAAATAACCTCAAAAAGTACATTGAAGGCTCAAAAAACCTGGAAATAGTGAATATGAACAAGAAAATATGACAGAAATATCTCAATGTACGACGACTCGCAATAAATTGAGAAAAATTGCGAGAAAATTGCATTGCCTCTAACTTGCCGAGAAATAGCATAATGTATACGGCGCCCTCATAACTAGAGGATTGTTCATCTATATTTTGGTATAGTTGAATCAGGAATTCCATATGGAAATTACGTATGATACGCCAGTGACCTCAATATAACCTAAAAAACCAAATGCCAAAAATCTAGTGTTTATCCCCAGAAATGAATGAAGATGGAACTATATAACTGTTTCACAAACACTTTAGAGTGAGAGGAGACGAGGATCTGTCCGTACCCTGTAGAGATGACAAATACGTCAGTTTACATCAAGGGACCCTACATCTAATGTCATTTCCTTGATATCATAAATAAGTACAGGAAATCGCATAGCTATAAGTATATAATGATATCATATTATCCACTGCTACTATATTACGAAATTTATCAACTTATAGTAATGATATGTCAAATAAATGGACATCAATGAGACAACAAAATAATATACATAGTTATAGAAGGTTACTGGTCTGATGTACTATTGATATCTTCCAGTGGTTAACACTTCATCTCACTTTTGAATCCAATAACTGTCTATTTGTTATCAACAAAATGTATCGTCTATACAGACTATACGACTAAAATTTCCAATAAACGTGTGTTTTATCTTGCTGCCATTTCGAATATCGATAATTGATTAATTTTCATGCATAATCACCCTATATACATTCTACAGAAAATTTTGAATTTTCAATGAACGCTCATCCTAGAGTGGATTAAAGAAAACAATTACAATCTTAACACGCTCTGTATCTTGAAACGAATCAAATTGAGATAAATGTTGTCAAGTATACCAAGTTCTGGAATAAGCCTCCTTCAGTATACAAGGTGTTTGGTTCACCGATGTATATCTGATGAACTTACACGAAGTTTTACACTTTTCGAGGAATCATCGCTCAAAATGATGGAACAATTCTAGAACAATAAATTCAAAGTTGAATGTTTTACAGAAACTCATAAAATACGTGTATTCAACTTTTAACTAAAAGAAGATACAATGAAATAAAATGTTTACAAAACGATTATGTCTCGAGAGTCGTGTAACACTTTGTATAATATTTTACATGGTGGAATATTATATTCGGAATGTTCTTACCTAAAATTGTTCTTATATTGTTCAATCCGTCATTCGGTTGCCCTCTTACGAGCAACCCTCAGAAGTCTTCGAGATTTTTGTGCGAGCACCTTTCAGATATACGTCGGTGAACGAAACACCCTGTATGTAGATCATTTAAATATACATGCAGGAACACCAAATTATAAATCATCAGGATGTTGTGGCTTGATGGTAATCTAGAGTTTAGACCCTACTGTAGGCATGAATG